CTTGCCAATGCCGAAGTGTGCCAGGGGCTGGCGCTGCAGCGTCTGCTGAGGCTGGCGTGGATACAGGCTAAGAATAGCCTGTTCCCGAAACCCTGGTTTGGTGCCTGAGTTTCAGGGCCGGTTGTTCTGGTGAACGATCGAAAATACCCTTCGTTTCAGGCTAAAAAGGCTCTTGCCATTTTTAGTTTGAAACGACACAGGGACTGTAGGCCCCTGTTTTGAGGCTGAATTCTAGGCTTTTTGGCTGAAGGGCGCAGGGCCTGGAAAATGGCCTGCGTGTGCAGGCGCAGCATGTAACATTTGTCTTTTCATTACTGAACGGTTGTAGTTAGTAGGTTCTCTCTGAGGTTAAAATTTGTTTTTCAGTTCGGTCGAGGCGGAGAGTAGGTCCAAGTGGGACCTTTCTTGGTTGGGACCCGGTCACGGCCAACGTGAGACCTATAGGGACCCAGTGGGACCGGCCCAAAACAAGGAGGGCCCCTTCGGCCCAAATCTGTGGACATCAAGTTCATTCTCTTTCTGGCTGGGAGTTTCACAGTTTATTCATTGGTTAGAGCACTAGCTGTGGAGGGGATCTCGGCTGAGTCGTTTTGCATACTTCACCACCCAGTCCGACGCTTTGCTCGCACCCTATACACCACTCAATCTCCATTGTTGCATGTCATAACTCGATGTCTGAATTTGCTGCACGCTGTCGGTGTGAATACCCTTACAAGGGTATCCGCCCTGGTTTTTGCAAGTAACTGGAACGGGTTTTGACTCAAAGATTCGGTGCGCCACGCGAGCCGCGGCCAATTTTCCCTTTGTGACCGTTGTGTGTTCCAGGGAAAAATAGGGGGTGCGTGGGCACGCAGTTTTGAGGTGCGCGTGATTTTTCTTGTTGATGTTACAGAGCCAGCCCAATTGCCATCCAACTTTTTGTTTTCGATTTTATTAGGATCAAATGATTTGTTCCTTTGGTCTGTACGTTTTGCAAGGAACATGAATGTGGACAAAGCACAAAAATCCAAATTGCAAATCACACTGAAGTCCAAGTAGTCAAAGCAAGAGCAGATAACACATTGGAGCCAAGTAACCATCCATTTGAGAATGAGAACGATACAGCAAAAGTCGTGAGTCAATGTCCAAGCCCAATCGGGCAACACCAACAACATAACCCGAAGTAGCCCTCTCTCTTGAATGGCGCCAGGCGCCCTATCTACTCTACAGCCTATCCTACAACTACAGTCATGGAAGCAACCAGACGACTTGACGACCAGCTAGTGATGACATCAACACCAATGCCGACCTCCTCTTCCACCAGGTACGTCACTCTCTCTTGTCCCTCACTCTCCCTTGTTATCCCACATAGCGCCCTTCACCTTCCGAAGGTGGTTCTTCGGGAGGTGAAGGGCGCTGTGTGGGATAACAAGGGAGAGTGAGGGACAAGAGAGAGTGACGTACCTGGTGGAAGAGGAGGTCGGCATTGGTGTTGATGTCATCACTAGCTGGTTGTCAAGTCGTCTGGTTGCTTCCATGACTGTAGTTGTAGGATAGGCTGTAGAGTAGATAGGGCGCCTGGCGCCATTCAAGAGAGAGGGCTACTTCGGGTTATGTTGTTGGTGTTGCCCGATTGGGCTTGGACATTGACTCACGACTTTGCTGTATCGTTCTCAAATGGATGGTTACTTGGTTCCAATGTGTTATCTGCTCTTGCTTTGACTACTTGGACTTCAGTGTGATTTGCAATTGGGATTTCTGTGCTTCGTCCACATCCATGTTCCTTGCAATTTGGTATCAGAGCTGGTTCGATTCGCCGCTTACCTTGGTGCGCCGGCGTTACACAGACTTGATGCGTTGAAGATGCTTCTTCGCAGTTGGTTCTTGTGACGTCGGGCCGAAAATAGGCGCGCGACCTGGGTAGAGAGTTGTGCGCCGGAAAGCTATACGGCTTGGGATGCCGTGGCGACAGCAGAATCTATGTATGGTGATGAGAGCATGCTGATGTGGCATTTGGCTGAGGTGGCACTGCATTGCCTTGTGGGTGGTACCGAGGCTATGACCGGTCATCAAATGCACATTCGGCCCAATTGGTGAGAAATCTGTGGTTGGGGGCAGCTATCTTCAGGTACGTTGTTTCCTTACCTTATCTACCCTCTCAATCTCTTCTTACCGCGAGGAAGTGAGTCCAACTTGAGAGTCCTCTCTTTTTGGTGAGGTGTCGTGAGTGCTCTACCTTGAGAGACGACAATCTTCCCGGTGGCGCATATGGAAGGAGAAAGGGCGGTGCCTCTGAAGGGCTCTGGTTGAAGCACATGGGTCACGGTCCCCATGCCAACCCAATGGGATTAGTACACGCATGCGATGGCTGCTTTGTCCATTGGGGCTCTTTAGCTGCGCTGATAGAGGGGTGTGCGGACTGAACAGGCTTATGCAGACGCTCCCAGACCGTCTATAAACATTTCTGGATGGGGTTCCGATCTGTCCACTCGCTGTGATCGTTGTCCTGATTGCGACGTTAAATAATTCCTGACCTTGGGGGCAGTCCTTAAATAAGCCTCTTAATCAGCCAGATCAGTCGGACGTACGGCTCGTTGCACGCGAGGATAAATAACGGGCAAGCCTGGTCATAAGCATGCACCTGGGGCACAGGGGTGGGCCAACATTGCACACCTATGACACTGCTGCTCATTGATGCTCATCGGTATGTTGGATTGAGAGGAGGGTTGGTTCCAATTGGTGCTCAACTGTAAACACAACAATTTCCACTGTTCATACATCTGCAACATAATTTAGTTTTATTTTTGATTAGTTGGTTTACAGACTGCTAACACCTCACATACAGCTTAGTTTAGGACTTGTATCCTACCATAGCCAGTTCTCTGCTAGGTTGTTGTAAGTGAACTAATCTGGATAAAATTAGATTGTGTGTACAGTCTTTGTGAATGTTGTAGACGACCGCTTGAATCGGTAGCGCAAAACCCTGCCAGACACATTCTATTTTTAGAAAATTAAATGCCGGTCAGACACATGCTGTGGTAGGACTTCAATAGGAGGTCCTAGTGCAGAAACTGTTCGTTTTAGCTCATGAGTGGGTCAAACAGCGACGAGGGTAGAGTTGACGATGTGAGAGTCACACGATCGCTATCACGTAGGGTCCCTGTCGTGTTTCAGTTTCTGCAGGCTGGAGACGAAAGACGGTTACGTGCTGAAGTTAGAGCCCGTGCTTACGCAACAGCTGGGGAAGCAGCACTAGCTGCAAGAGACGCATTAGTAACAGCAAACGCAGCAGCTAGGGAACAGGCTACCGCAGCAGCCAGAGCAGCAACAATGGCTACCGCAGCAGCATCCTCTGCTGCCTCCTCATCAGGGACACAGTTGGTAATGCCCACTACTGGGTCCCTGGGTAGCTCCAGCATTGTAGGATCTAGTTTCTCCACCAGTCAAATGGCGGGCTCGCAGTTAAGTCCGTTGACCCCACGCCAGCGGGAGTTGAGGGAACTCCAGCAAGTCAGAAGGATCCGCACTAGGCTAGAAAGGGAACTGAAAGAAGCTTCCGACAGAGAAACATAAATTCGAAATAGGATTGCCAGATTGGAAACGGTAGAGGCAGACAAAACTGCTTCACAGGGTTTGGACGAGTCAGCCATGTCTGACCAGATGAAAGTGTTGAAGGCCAGCGTACTGTCGCTGCATGCGCACGTGGACAGCAGGATGGACTTCATGCAGGACACTTTGACCAAATACTGGCCCTCTTGCAGAGGACAGAAACCAGACCAGCAGTTTCGCAATCGCCACTCCCTCTGTCGGCGATGGCAGGCCCCTATCCCCATGCTGGCACACAACCAAGCAGTTCGTCAGCAGCAGCCGCTCAGACTGTTGCTTCTCTTTCTTCCGGTCCAGCAGTGATAGCTACACCATCACCGCAACCTGTTCCACCACAGGGACAGCAGCAAGGTCCATGGTACCCAAAGGCCCAAATGAAACCACCCCTTGCCTTCTCCGGTGAGAAGAAGGACGAGGAACTCAACACTTGGTTGACAACAGTTCCAATGTGGGTAAGGGCAAAGAGGACTTTGAAGGAGGAGGAGGTGATTACTGCTGCATCTTACCTCGAGGGTAAGGCATCCAAATGGCTAGATGGTATAATAGCAAAGGTCGGGTTCGGACGACGCATGGCAGATTGGGCTAAAACCCGGACATTAGATGAGTTCATAGATATGGTAGAAGCTCGCTGGCACAATCCGCAACAGGCACAAAATGCTACTGACGCGATGCTTAGACTTGACCAGCGCAAGTACAAGTCAGTCAGAGAGCTTACGACTACCGTAGAGAATCTCATTGTCGTTCCGGTCTTGTTGACCATGTTCGTGAGATGTCTGCTCGAGAATCTCAGAACCTTACTGGCCAGCGAGGCTCGCCTCGAGTATCACACCTTTGAGACCTTCTCTAGAAAGGCCCTAGACTTAGAGGCTACTCTAGGAGGAGCTCAACCTACTCCAGTAGACGGGAGGAAGAACAAGAGTCCACAGGAGTGGAAGAAGAAGGGGGGTCGATTGATGATGGTTGAGTCTGATGGGACCCAAACCGAGATCGATGAGCTTTCTGACCTGATGGACGGATCCGAGTACGAGGGCGAGGAATTTGTTGAGGGTAGCACCCTCGCCTCTCTTGTTAAGGTTAAGGCAGGTGGCCGAGGTAAGGGCCATCAAAAGAGTCAAGCGCAGGCCGCCTCCAATCAGTCCAAAGTTGCTGATTGGGTCAAGGCAGGTCTTGATCAGGATGTGTGGCGGGACTGTAGAGTGCGTGGTGCTTGCATTAACTGTGGTGAGTATGGACACACCCAGTACAAGTGTAAGAACGCAAAGGTCACGTAGAAGATACCCCCTAAGGGAGGGGTGCCTTCTTCCCAGGCTTCCAGCTCGGGACACACTTGAGGCCGGTGGAAGCTTTAGATGCTTCTACTCATGGTGAAGTGGGACAGATACCCTCCCCACTTCATGAGATGGCCATAGCTAATGACTCTGTAGTCACCCTGCAGACTCGTCTAGACCAAACCATGCTCTGTACGTTGGATGTGTTTGAGGCCTTAGAAGATTTAGAAAGTGAGTGGTCAAACAAGGACCCTCGGGAATCTTGGGTGGCACTAAGTAGAGGTCCTAGAGGGGAACACTTCGCTGAGAAAGGGGAGGCCGTTAAAACACCCCCGGAGATAGAGAACGTCGTTACTAAGTTCCCTGATCTGTTTGCGGAGCCCACGGGAGTCGTAGATAGGGAGATTGTCCACGCCATAGAAACAATTCCAGGGAGTAAGACCCCAAGGGAAAGGATCTATAGGATGGCTCCGGCCGAGTTGGACGAACTCCAACGACAACTGAAAGAGCTGACAGAAAGGGGTTGGATACGGCCTAGTACTTCCCCCTTCGGATCTCCAGTGTTGTTTGTACCGAAGAAGGGGGGATCGTTGAGGATGTGCATTGATGATTACAGAGGCCTCAATGCCATCACAGTAAAGAATGCAGAGCCTCTACCTCGCATAGATGACCCATTGGATGGGGTGCAAGGATGTAAGCACTACCGCAAGATAGATCTAAAATCCGGCTACCATCAGATTGCCATAAGACCTGAGGATCAACACAAAACCGCGTTTCAGACCAGGTATGGTTTGTACGAGTTTGTGGTGATGCCCTTTGGCCTTTGCAATGCGCCGGGAACATTCCAGCACGCCATGAATAGGATCTTTCATGACTACTTGGACAAGTTTGTTGTCGTGTACCTCGACGATATTCTTGTCTTCAGTAAGTCTGTCGAGGAGTATGCACATCATTTAGAGACTATTCTCTCACTCCTGCGGCAGCACAAGTATAAGGTCAACTTAGAGAAATGCGAATTCGGGCGCACTAAGATCTTGTACTTGGGTCATGAAGTATCCACGACAAGGATTAGGCCGGAAGATGCGAAGGTGGCTAGTATAAGGGACTGGCCACGACCTCAGACAATGAATGTGCGGCTACTATAGAAACTTCGTGAAAAACTATTCCCAGTCGCCTCTCCTTTGACTGATCTCACTCAACTTGATACGCCGTGGGACTGGAGTGATGAGTGCGAGGCTGCTTTCAAACGATTGAAGCATGCACTCATGAATCATGAGGTTCTCGTGGTCCCCGATCCTCAGAAGCCATTCATTGTAACCACTGATGCAAGCCAATATGGCATTGGCACAGTGCTGGCTCAGCAGGATGGGAAAAAGTTGAGGCCGATTGAGTACATGAGTAAGAAAATGCCATCTAAGAAACTGGCTAAGTCCACTTATGAAAGGGAACTGTACACCCTCTACAAGGCATTGGTCCATCGGAGGCACTTCCTGTTGGGACGGTTTTTCTATCTGAGAACTGACCATCAGACTCTCAAATGGATCAAAACTCAACCTGCTCTCTCTGATGCACTCAAGCGCTGGATTGAAGTTATAGATCAGTATGACTTCAAGCTGGAGCATCTGAAGGGGGAGTATAACAAGGTTGCAGATGCGTTGTCACGTAGGGCAGACTATCTAGGTGCGTTAGTTTCTGAATTCGGCATATCAGAAGAAGTAACTTGATCGTTGGTGGAAGCCTATCAGGAAGACCCTGTCACGATGGACATCATCCGCAAACTGCAGGCTGAAGACAAGGCCACAAAAGATGAGTTTGTGATGGTGGATGGGTTAATCTTTCTGGAAAAGGTTGGCAATAATAGATTAGTAATTCCCGCTAGGGAGAATTTGCGCAGTTTGTTTTTAGGAGAATGTCATGATGCAATGGGACATTTTGGCTACAAAAAGACAAGTGCTAATCTGGTACAGCGATTTTGGTGGCCCGGTATGCTAGAGGATGCAAAGAAGTATGGGCAGACCTGCCAGGTCAGTCAGCGAGACAAGCCAAGAACTCGAGCACCGCTTGGGTTGCTGAAGCCCTTGGCCATCCCCGCTAGACCAGGACAGAGTGTCTCCATGGATTTCATGGACACCCTGGTCACCAGCAGGAGTGGCAAGAGGCATATCTTTGTTATCATAGACAGGTTTACCAAGTTCGCTACACTGATTGCCATGCCAAACACTGCGAGGACTGAGCACGTCATCAAGCTGTTCATGGACAACTGGGTGCGTGATTTCGGATTGCCAAAGTCAATCGTTAGTGACAGAGATGTCCGTTTTACAAGTGAGTTGTGGAAGAAGACTGCTGAGCAATTAGGCAGTCAACTTCAGATGTACAACAAGCCCAACCAGGATGACTGGGATGAGAAATTGCCTCTCATTGCCAGCTGGTACAACAACGTTGTACACAGCAGTACTGACGTCAGTCCTAACCAGTTGCACTTGGGATGGAAGCCTAGATCAGCGTTGGACTTCCTCCTGCCTGAAAACTGACCCTCCGCAACTCCGGGCACACTTGAGTATGGTGTGCAGTATGAGAAGTTGCTGCAGCAAGTTGTCGAGCACATCAAGAAATCTCAAGAAGCAATGATTGCTTCTGAGAACAAACATCGTCGACAGTCCACATTTCAGGTAGAGGAATGTGTCTGGGTCAAGGCTAGTGAGCTAGGACAGGAATTTGGAATCTCTCATAAACTAATGCCATAGTATTCCGGTCCCTGGGAAGTCTTGGATGAAGTTGGGGATGACTTGGATGGTCCTTCCTATGTTATCCGAATCCCTAGTCACCTGCGCACTAACCCTGTGTTTCACGCCTGAAAGCTTGCACCTTTCGCTGAGACAGATCAATTTCCTTCACGGAGATCAATGCTGCCCCCAACCATGGATGGCCACGTGGACATCGACGACATTTTGGAACACAGAGACATGCCTGTTCCCAGACCTCTTGGCAGAGGAAGACCTCCAAAACCCAAGAGAGAATACAGAGTCAGATTCATGCATCACACAGATCCAAAAGAAGATCGGTGGTTCACCAGAGAGGAACTGATTGAAACAACACCTCAGGTGGTGGCTGAATATGAAAGACAGCTAAAGGGGAAGGCACCTGCGAAGTAAGCATCTCAACGGACTTTCGAAGCTAAGGGGGATGGAATGTGAGGATTGAGACCTCAACGGGGCCTTGCCAACATACATATGTTCCGGGGATAGGCCCCCAGCAAGCCTCGTGCCCGCCCTAAGTGAAGGCGGGCCAGAATATCCACGAAGAGGCCTTCATTCAGCATTTTCCAAAGTGGGTATCAGACAGTTGCCGCACGCCAGTTGGTTGAAGTGCATCGTGAGCCTCCGACTCCTACAGAGGTAGTTGAGCCCAGGGCCGAGGTTGGTTGAGCCCTGGGCGACAGTCTGGGAGGTCGACACATCACACATTGGTCCCTGGCCTTTGGAAAAGCAGTATTTCGTCGTAGAGGCCGAGGAAGCCAATGGGAAACCGGTACGGGGTCTGAACCTGGACAATGGCCCTAGCATAAGGGGCGCAACTGTATTACCTGGGCCCCATCTGCATTGGGCCTGGGTACAGGTATTGGGGCCCAGGCGCAGGCTCAAGGTAGACCGCCCACATGCAACATTGCCACATAGGCAGAGCGGGCGAGTGGGCAGGGATCTTGGCCATTGCGAGCAAGGCCGACACGCTGTTGCATTGCGAGTGTGTTGCGCTGCGCTAGGCTGAGAGAAGGCAGGCTGGCGCTAAGCGGTAGGGCGCAGCCTGGGCGCAGGGCGCTGACAGCCATAGCCAGGCTGCATGGGAGCACTGGAGGAGGTGAGGGCGAAGGTGGTTCTTCAGGAGGTGAAGCGCGTTGTGTGGGATAACAAGGGAGAGCGAGGGACACGCGAGAGAGACATACTTGGTGGAAGAGGAGGTCGGCATTGGTGTTGACGTCATCACTAACTGGTCTGTGATGGGGCGCAAATGCGCTTTTTTTTTTTTGTAAGGGGTGTGTGTGTATACAAGGGGGAGAGAGAGAGAGAGAGAGAGAGAGAGAGAG